TTGCAGGAAGTGGAGCCTAAATTTCCCACTGTGGTGCCAGTGCGAGACTTTGACTCTATAAGGGATGCTGCCAGGATTGATGCAGCCATCAAAACTAAAGGTCTGGAATGTATGATGGTGGTACATAGACCAAGGCATATGTGCCTGGGGACCCTTTATTGAGAAGGAGTATGTTAGAAAAATAACTAAGATTAAAAGAAATAAATCATCACGTTAATTATGATCTATGTCTTTTTTTGGTTTGCTTTTAGTTAATTATGTGCTATATTTAATTATATTTAATTACAACCTGATGATATAATCTTTCCTTATAGGGGTAGATGAACAAACCATCATTGACATCTTGACCAGACGAAGCTACGAGCAGCGGCGAGAGATAGCGTTCGACTTTGAAAGACTTGCCAAGAAGGTAAAAAAAAAAAGAGTTTAACAATGCCATCCTTCAACAGAAAGTAATAAATAAGATGTTGATGTTGAGAGTTGTTGTTTCTTTTTCATTTTTTTTTTCAGGACCTGGTCACAGCATTAAAGGGGGCGCTCTCTGGCTCTCTGGAGGCAACGATTCTGGGTCTGATGAAAAGCACTACTCAATACGATGCCTCTGAGCTAAAAGCATCTATGAAGGTGATTGCATGATTTTGTGTCTGTGATTTGACATATACGAATCCTATTTTGCTTATTTAAATTATTTTGTGCAATACAGGAATCCCTGTATTGCACAAAATCGCAGAGTAGAGGCGAGATTATTATTATATATTTACTTATATATTTACCCTTTACTAACCTCCCCCACACTGTTATCAACTCCTTCCTAGACTGTATTACCCTTTCCTACACAATAATATGCACAGTAGAGTTGTATATTGGTGACCTACAGACAAGAGGAGATGCTGAAAGATGCTACGACGCATGAGATCCTCAGCCCGAGGAACAGAAGAGCATGCTCAATTAGCCAATAGTACACCAAGTCCTCATTGCGTTAGCCAATAGTACGCTGTGTACGATCTCGTCCAGGTAAACGACTTCTCTCAATTTCAAATTGAGAATCCACATTTTTAACCCTCCTGTTGTCCTCATGATCCGCATACACCCCCGTGTCCTCCGGGTCAAACTGACCCGTCTTTACTAAACCTTCAATAGAAGCAGCTTCATTGAACTTCAAACACCAAATCTTATTTTGCTTGAAGAAACAACAACTTGTCATTCACCACAAATTGGTGTGAATACCCGAGTTTTTCCCCCTCTTCACCTGGCAGAAAGACTGCATTTAAGACACACCACCTGTTGCTATGACGCTGTCAGTTGTATTATTGTTTACTGTATAGGTGGTAAGCGATATTTGTATAGTATTTCTATAGCTTAAGAAAGAATAGAAATGTGCAAAAAAAAGGGAGGAGTTTTGAATGCTAAAATTAGCATCTCAGGATCTCATCCATCCTTTTTCCAGCTGTCGCCATATTAGCGAAGACCCTCCAGATTTGTCACCCAAAGGATTATTTTTTTTCTATTGCTGGTGTGATGAACAGATAGAGTGTTGAGACAATGTCATGGGCATGAAAAATGGCATATCTTGTGGGTCCTGGGGTCATCCTCATGACATTTTGTTCTGCCGCCCTGCCGTGTTTGTCATATGCTGCCAAGGACCATGTTATTTTGCTGTTGTTTGAAAGGAAAGTCTCTCGCACAGCTTCAGGGTCTTCTTCTGCTTTTGATGATTCATCAAGCTCTGGGTTGTATTCCTCCCCATCTTCTTCTTCTGAATTAGAGTTGTCTCGTTGGACATCTGAAAAAATCAGCTCTATCAGCTCTATTCAACGTTATAACGCACACTCATGGCTTCAGCACCTTTATAGCCTCTGGGAGTCCACACAGACAAAGGGGTAATATTGTTCCATTTGGATCAGATCGGGTCACTCAGGCAGTGCAGTCTGCGAGAAGACCACCCGTACTGTACTGTCTTGTTTACGTCTGCTACTGATTGATCTGAGACAGAACTAAAACATTCTCACATTTTTGGGGTGTGTACCTAACTCTGTGATGTCTCAATTTGACTGTCGGGTCATTTTGACCTGAAGACAATATTTGTACCTTTTTTTTTTGTGAAATTATAAATAAAGGCAACAATACACTTTTTCTAATGTTGGGGTCAATCTAGGAAAAGTCGTTAAATTTCAAGTTGAAGAAATATCGTTCAGGGGATTTTTAGTTGGTTTTTAACACAGTGGCTGGTCATTTTGACCTTTTGACCTGAGGACAACAGGAGGGTTAAATCCAAAACCTTTGTATGTATAATTATTTTAGAATGTCTTTCAGGTTATTTTTTTTGCTATATTTCGTGATAATAGTGAAAATTCCGCCTGGTGAGACTTTAATACATAATTTAATACAGTAGCTTTTGCAAGTTGGTCACTACATATTCTTTTGTATGTGGTCTACATTAGAAAGACGAAGCCGTGTCTATGAAGATTCTCAGTCATCGATTCTCAGTCATGTTCAAGGTTGGAAAGTTCTGTTAGGCAACTGGACGTGAATTTTGTGAATCAAAGCCATGTTTTCTTTGTAGTGTTTATTTGTCGTGTTCATGGTACTTACCTAAGTACACAAATGATTCGTATGCATAATTGCATAATTACAATGATGATTTAAGGGTTTTTCTTTTTGGGTTGGGGTTTGTATGCAGGGGCTGGGAACAGACGAGGAAACCTTGATTGAGATTGTATGCTCAAGGAACAATGATGAGCTGGCGGACATCAAGAGGGTCTACAGGGAGAGTAAGTTCGAATTTTCTTTGACATCCTCATCCCTTTATGAAATAAATAAATTAGAATATTTGTCCATTTGTATTAGTCCTGTTTTATTGTTGTTGTTCTTTGCTTTTTTTTTATTTTTAACTTTCATTACTTGATTGAAGACCTCTTTAGAAACATACCTTCCTTATGTAAGCTCTCATTGGCTGTCTCTCAGTGGTTACAGGTTCGCTTCTATTACAGTATGTGTGCTTTGTTTATATATAATAAATACAGTTATAACATATAAAAAAAAATAAAGGTGGATAAATATGGAAATTATATGACTGATACTGTTCTGTCAGCGAGAAGTAACATTAAACATCCTTACCTTGAAACATTTAACCTTTAACAATATGTTTTCGCTTTGATTATTATCTTTTGTGGTTGTTTGCGCATGTATAACTGTATGAACGTTCTAAGTTGGATGTTTGGATGCTTTAGTCACACAACACATCTAGCCAAGCGCAGATTAAATACACACACGCAGTAGAACACGGAAATAGAGCAGCAGCAAGAGAGTTTAACGTTAATGAATCGATGGTGCGGAAGTGGAGGAAGCATGAGGATGAGCTGCGCCAGGTAAAGAAGACTAAACAAAGTTTCCGTGGCAATAAAGCGAGATGGTTACAGTTATTATGCTATTGCTTTATTGTTATTGTTATTGTTTTGCACTTGTTATTGTTTTTGCACATTACGAGTGTCACTATATTGTGATTGCACTAACGTTTAATTTACCGTAACAGTATCAGACTGTTTTTTGCGTGTTGACTGAATGGAGGAAAAGTAAAATGTTATACCTTGCTGTTGTTAAAAGATGTTAAAGATGTGTCACGAAAATGCTAATGCTTTACCTCAGAGAAAATAATAAAACAGCTGTTTATTCATTTTTGGGAGTGAATGGAGTTGTGGAAAGCTTGTTTGTAATCTATTAATAAAGTTTGACTGACCTATCTGACTGTTTTGTTGACATTCCCTTTAGCGCGGCACCATCTAATGGTTGCATAACGTAACTACAGCCTCTACTGTAGCGCCTTATAATGCGGTGCGCCTTATATATGGAAAAAGTTTTAAAATATGTCATTCATTGAAGGTGCGCCTTATAACACGGTGCGCCTTATAGTGCGGAAAATATGGTAAATGGTGTACTTGGTTCTGGCTTGGCAATTGCTGCAAATACTGCTATGTATTGTTACATGACCAGACGCCTATTAATTTAGCTTTCATACTGCTGTTCTTTTACCTCTGCTCACTGCACCGTTAATAAATATTTCTGTCTTTGTATTTATATTTAAGGTGTTTTTCAAAATTATTTTATTTGTCGTTTCTGTCCTCAGTGTTTAAGAAAGAACTGGAGAAAGACATAGCTGGGGACACATCCGGAGACTTTGCTAAACTGCTGTTAGCTCTGTTTCAGGTAAATTCATAAATGAAAACACGTATGGATTAACGTTTCCAAAAGTAAACATTTGACTAGCTTAGTAATAATGAGCTTTTTTTTTTTTTTTTTTGTCTTTTGAAAGCTTTTTGACTAAGTGAGACAGAGAAATGATGTTTTAATTCTTTTACATTTACAGACAAAGAGAGACGATCCCTCTAACGTTATCGATTATGAGAAGATCGATGAAGACGCCAGAGTAAGTCCAGATATTACATATATGGTTGGTGTTGCTGATTCACTGGTCGTTCTCAACAATAAAAAAAACAAAACAAAATGAACCTGCCAAACATTTTTAGACACTGATTTGATATTTCACAGTGCTTCATTATTAGGACTAGGTCTGTTTCTGAAGACTGCTGCAGCACAATACTGGCAGCTCAGGCCTTCTCCATCTCTATTGCAGTCTCCGAGTCTCTGCACACTCACTCCACACTCTTGCAACTTCTCTTGTCATTGGTCCCAGTTCCTACTAATTTAAGGAAAGGGATCACTACCATCATTAGCCCGACCTCCTCCTCCTCCTGAGAAAATGTACCGTGGCCGTTGCCCTCGTTCTGGACTGTGAAAGAAATTTTAAAAGAAAAATACCAATGCCAGTTATTATTTTGTGATTATGATGTTGGAGTCCAATATGTAGTAGACCCAATTGGAGCGGCGACTGGTCCAAGCAAAGGGTGAAAGGGCGTCACATTCGGTAATACCTCATGCGTTCTACCACTCCACAGATTGCGAGACACTCCTTCTCTGCCGTGCTGTACTGTACTGTACTGTCTCATTATTGAACTACTTCTGGCTGATGCAAGACATTGGGCGTTCAGCACCCCAGGGCCTCTTAGACGAAACAGTCCTCAATCTTGTTTAATGACTTAGTCTCTAGTGTGAGGTCTGAACAAGTAGGAGGCGCTTACTGCACTTACTGCTGCTTCAGCCACTTAATTGAATCTGAAGCAGATCTATCGAGATCACAGGATGCGTTTGACATGATAACTAATCATTTTGTAACACACAGTAGGAGTAACGCTAGAACCTTATCACCTGCAGAAAAGGAGCACAAAATGATACCACTTGACGCTCCTTGGCCTTGAGCAAATTCCCACTTTTACCTACAATATGAAACTTCTAGCTCTAGTCCAGGGCATACTAAAATACAGTTTTCTCTAATAAGGTCCAGAGTCGCCCATGCGACTTTAAGCCAAACAATAGTTCGAAAGGGAGAAAATCCTGTGGAGGCCTGGAGTACCTCCCCCACTGCAAACAACAACGCTTGAGCAAATTAAATTCAGTTACAGATCATGGATTTTAAGATTATGATTTTTACATATTCAGAGACTTGACCATTTCCATCTCAGTGAAGAGCGTAGATGTTGGATGGAACAAGTATAATCTCTTTATTTCCTTCAGTGTCCGTAATATGAACGATGTTCCCTGGTCAGACAGGATTTCCTTAAGGACCCTGACCTTAGGGCAGAGGGGTCAAACTCAATTTGGTTCAGGGGCCTGATTAAATGTCAAGTGGGCTGGACTAGTACAATCATAACATAATTAAGTATAAATAACAATGAGTCAGTTCATTTTTCTCCTTTTGTTTTCATACAAATAGGTACGTGTTTGTTAGAAAGTATTAATATTTAATGAAATATAATTTGGCAAACATCACAAACATAAAGTGTTTGTGCATTTCTTTTACAGGCCCGATTGACACCCTAGCTCTATAGCAGGGGTGTCAAACTTATTTTGGTTCAGGGCCCACATACGGCCTAAGTAGCTGTGAAGTGGGCCGGACCAGTACAATCATAATATAAGTACCTTAAACCATAATAAATACATACTTTATACTTATCTTGTTTTCCTGCAAATAAGTACAAGTATATTAGAAAATATTCATACTTAATGAAACGTAATTTGACAAAACATAATGGCAACAGGCCATATGTTTGGCACCCCTGCCTTCGATATATATATATATATATATATATATACAGTATATCTAAATATATAAATATATATATATACATATATATTTGTTTAGATTCATGTTATAAACTTTTCTATAATATAAAAGTATATATTTTATACAACCGTCCAAAAACTTGGGGTCACCCATACGCTTTGTGCATTCCATCACTAAAACTCATACTTTTATTTATTGAAAGATTTGCAAAATGTGGTATATTCAAATATCAATTATATAGAACATATAATTGTGATATATTCATATATTCCATTATTTTTTTTGGAAACCAAGTCTCTGTACGAGGCCGGAGTTAACAGAAAGGGCACAGATGTGATGACTTGGATTTCCATCATGTCTCAGAGAAGCATACCTCACCTGCGGAAAGGTACAGTACACACAGAGATACCTCGAATAATGACTGCGTAAATCACTTTTGTATTTATGTCTCTTTTCTGTTGTAGACTAGTTCAGGTGTGAATGCGATTTTTAATCCTATTTTAGTGTTTAAATCTGATAATATTCTTGCAGTTATTTCATTAGAATTCTTCTAGATTGTGTTGCTTTTGTATGTATTACTGGCGATTCTAACCAATATGTGTGTCTAATGCATGTCTGCGGTGTGTTTTTTTTTTTGGGGGGTGTGTCAGTGTTTGACAGATACAAGAGCTACAGTCCCTATGATATGAAGGAAAGCATCAGGAAGGAGGTGAAAGGAGACCTGGAGAAGTCATTCCTCACTCTTGGTGAGACTAACTAACTATAAATCCCTTTTCAAGAAAGATTAGCACACTTTCCACAATGGCATTGTGAAATAAAATGTGAATGTAAGTGTTTATGGAGATACTTTTTTACATGGATTGCACAGTTTTGGCATGTGACATGTAGGTTATACTTTCTGACGGTTTCATCACTGTGAAAATTGAATTATTGTGCAAGTGTGGCAAAAGAAGGAATCTCAGCTAAGTTGCATGTTTTCAGGAGGAACTCAACCTAACGTAGGAGCCACAAATAGTACTGTACTATGTGTTTTGCTATGTGTTAACTACCGATATGTGGGTAAAAAAAAAAAATGCTACTACTTAATTTTAAGCATTCAAATATCATCTACAGTGGAACCCTGGTTGTCGAATGACTCCCGTTTCGAACAAATTGGTTGTCGAACAAAATTTTGAACTAGAAATTGCCCCGGTTGTCGTATCGTAACTTCTTACGATTAAACCTAGATCTCCTGTCTCTACAGTTGAGTGCTTTGAAAACAAGCAGCTGTACTTCGCCAACAGACTCGGCGAAGCTATGAAGGTAAATTTTTCAAGTTACTTCAAATTCATATTTTTAGTATGCACTAAAAAAAAAGAAGCTCTGTCAGCATTTCCCGCTTTTCTTAAGTCTAAAGGTGCAAAAGAGAAGGTGGTAACCAGAATCATGGTTTCTCGCTGTGAAGTTGACCTGATGAAGATCAGAACAGAATTTAAGCGGTTGCACGGGCGATCGCTGTATCAGACCATTTCTGTAAGTAACAGCCATAAGACTTTGTACTTTCAGTATCACAATGACTGTATCGTTAACGATGTGGTAAATCTTCTGAAATATGTAAGAAGCTAATTGAGACTTTAAATAATGAAATACCTCTAAAAAAATATCTACAAGATCTTATATGGAATTCATGTAGTAATATAAGGACAAATGCATTTAAGTAATCTGCTATTCCATGGTGACATCTGAAAGATGTCATAATTATTGGGGTGAGAGGACTTCAGGGGCCACATACGGCCTAAGTAGCTGTGAAGTGGGCTGGACCAGTACAATCGTAATATAAGTACCTTAAACCATAATAAATACCTGTTTATACTTATCTTGTTTTCCTGCAAACAAGTACAAGTATATTAGAAAATATTCATACTTAATGAAATGTAATTTGACAAAACATAATAGAACAGGCCATATGTTTGGCACCCCTACCTTTGATATATATATATATATATATATGTATATATA